CAATATACTCTTTCCTCTCAGGATAATTTTTAAACTTTTCACTGGCCTACTAGCTACGTCAGGGTCAGATGCTCATGCACGCACAACAATCGAATTAAGGCTTTTCATGGAGATCTCGCTGATATTAACGGATTTTACCAAATAGTACCCGGTCTTATAAACCTCATAAGCTCTAAAATATGAGCGTTTCTTACCCTGGGGATTTTTTAAGGAACAAGGACTTGTTATCGTTCTTATTCATTTCAAAGTCTCCAGGGTAAACGCGCTTATACGTTAGTTGTGAAGGGGGCTGCTGCAACAGCTTCGCCGGCAAAGGAACCCAAGCCTTCGAAACATGAGTTAGTGGATTTTTTGCTAGATTCCAGAGCTATTTTGGCGAAGCACGACTCTGCATTTAGTTTGAAGTCGGACTGTCCAGCAAAGCACTATCTAACTGTAAGCATTGGCATAATATGCCAACATAATATGACGTTATCATTTTTATGATAACGTAATTTGCAAAGCACTATAACAATAAAAATGAAGTACATCTTGAGTTTTAATAAAACTACGATAATTGGCCGAAAGCCTCATCTAGCCACGCCACTACATATATGTGTTTTGGTTAATGGTCATATCAGCATGCATTACTACTAGTAGTAGAAAACAGAGTCGTGCTGCGCAAACGTTAATGGTAGTTTGCGTTCATGTATTGCAGGTGAGTTGAGCTCAAGGATATTATGATATCCACCTTTTTCAGCGATATGCTATTGCGTGACAGCAATGTACTGTACGAACTAGTTATCTCATGGGGATAGTCATGTAGTAATTTTGATGACCCAGAACCCAGTTACGTTCCAAACATATCGCAACCGGAGCTTGGCGATTCTCACCACATTTTACCAGGTCTGTTCGTAGAGTTTACTTAGGATCAGATAAAAAAAAAAAAGCAATCGAAGCCGAAAACAACACTTCGCACAATGAAGACGGTCACAGCCGAAAGGAAATTAAGGAAAGCAAAAGAGAACTTCTTTTTGTTCACCAACGGGGCTCCCCCGAGGAGTTATCCGGCTCCGAACAGTACATTGCTGTCACGCAATAGCATATCACTGTAAACGATGGGTATCATAATATCCTTGAGCTCAACTCACCTGCAATATCTGAATGCAAACTACCGTTAACATGCCATGCGCGCAGCACGACTTTGTTTCTAATACATGCATATATGACCATTAATCAAAACACGCATATGTTGACCAACGAACATGTATTCATATGAAATAGCTATCTACACGTTCCCTGCAGCCTTGTACTTACTTCTTCTGGTGGTTGATGAAACGCAGCGCCAGAGCAGCCCAGATCCTGAACAACACAATGATTCCAATCGTAATACCGAAGTTACGCGCGATCTGGTGGTGCTTCATGCCGAAATAGTCCTCCGTGTATCCCTTGATCGTGATGTGACCCACAGTCTCCGGTGCGTCGGCCATAGGTTGGCATCCGAGCTGCGAGTTGACGTTCTCGTACGCCTGCGTGGTTTCGTTCCAAGTCGGTTCATTGTCGCAGTCCGCGAAAACCAGAGCAATGAGGACGGAAATCGGGAACTTGAACGGGCAGATGTCGTACAGCCACGTGTAGCCCGACGGAATGGCGTACGCTGGAGGACTGAAGCCGATGAACATCATAAAGATACTGTTAAACAATATTCCCACGATCTGCGCGACTTCCTCGGACGGCATGGCGTACGCGAAGAACTGGCCCAGATACACGAACATGAGCACAAGTAGAGCCGACGCCAGCCAAAAGACGACGGACGTAGCGAAGCCTGTGAAGCCCACGAAGTAATAGAAGATGGCGGTGAAGAGAAGCGAACTCACAAAGCAGTACGGGATCTCCGCCAGCGTCGACGCCATGAAGTACCAGAAGGCGTTGTAGGTCTGCGATGCTCGTTCCCGATAGAACGACTCGCGTTCAGCACACGTCAGCGGCATGACACTCTGGAACACAGCCATCGAACTGAAGAATCCAGACATAAAGACCATTCCCACACCCGAGTTCAGACCAGAGTACGAAGCGTAGTCGTCGTTGGTCACGAAGATCAAGCCAAACAGAACCGCCAAGAAGATGGACAGGTACATTCTCGTCAGACTGTAGCTCGGAGTACGCCAGTACATCTGGAAGAAGCGCCAAATCACAAACCTCGCCTGTGTCATCGAGTTAGCAGCGCGTTTCTTGCCAAACACCATCTCGGGAAGATCCGGAGACGGCGTCATGATGCCTTCCTTGGCCATATTAGTCTCCAGTTGCTGGTTGTACGGACTGTTCTTGAAGTAGCTCACAAAGTCCATCAAGTCTTCTGTTCCATGGCCGACACCAGCGCCAATACACTCCAACATCCACGTCGCCGGGTTGTATCCAACCGGAAGAGGAGCCACACCCGGGATGTTCTCGAAGTAGTCGATCAAATTGCGGCAGTTCTCGCCCAGATCACCGTAGAACGC